TGGAAAATTTATGCACCGGAAAGTTTGGATGATACTTTGCCTCTTGAATCAAGTGATAATTTGAATGAATCTGATTTTATGGAACGTGAACCAGTTTTTGATGGATGGTTGGATCAAGGCGATGTTCTTTATGTGCCACGTGGATTTATTCATCAGGTTCTTATTTTTTGATTTCCAATTATTTTTTGCTCTTGAAGGCCAATACTGGTCAAGACAAACTTTCTCATCATGTCACTATTAGTATTTGCCGTAAATTCTCTTATGCCCATTTCTTTGAAAAAGCATCAAGCGAATTTATTTTATTAATGACGGAAAAATCAAAACGTTTGAGAGGCGCACTTCCTCCACATTTTTTTGATATGGGTGGTATGGCTGATATTGCATATCCTAATGAAGATTCATTGAACAATAAGTTTTTTTAAACATTTTTAGCCTCTTAATTATTAAATGTTTTAAGACTTATTCCATATGCCAAAATATTTTCTCAAAAATTCGCTTCTGAAAAATTTTTTAAAAACAAATTTTCTCAAAAATTCGCTTTTTTTTCAACTTATGCTCCAGCATTTATCGATTTGATAGCTAAAAATTTCATGCAAACTGCACTTCCGCCATTGTTAAGCCCGGAAGAGCTTAAACAAACATGTATTGGAGGAGGTGGTTGTGACAATTTTCTTGAAAAAGAGAAACATCCACTTATTGGACCAGAGACTGAAGTTCGTTTTGCACGAATGCATGGACAAAGGTGATTCAATTAAATTTTAAATCATTATTTTAAATTTTTTAGATTAATTTATGAAGATGAAGGTACCACTTGTATTGTGCATCGTATGAACAATTCTCGGCGTTATGATGAAAACAAGGAAGAGCTGACTTTTGATTTTTCTACTGAGGTTTTTAAGATTTTGACACGGTATTAGTGCAGATTTACCCTTCACTCTAATTTTGGTTTTTTCTTTCTCGCTTTTATGACCACTCATTCTTATAGAAGATGAAGGGATGAGTGAGTAAATTAGGGAGGTGAGAGGGTGGCAAATTGCGGTTAAGCACGATTACGTGCCACCGATTCCGTGCGAGAACAGTTCAGTGTCGGCACGTTTCCGTGCTAATACGTTTCCGTGCACACGGTTCCGTGCCAGTAGGGCACGTTTCCGTGCCTTTCCTTCAAAATATATGAAAAACATCTTTTTCGAGTAATTTTTTTATTTCTTACTTTCTACGTACTAGAGAACATTTTAAATCGTAGCTTGATTCTACTCGAGACTTTTCTTGGGGGTTTTGGTCTTGGTGTGAAGTCTTGGTCTCGACCTTTTTTTCTTACAAGGGAACATCGGAAACTGTGTACAAAAATTCGGTATTTTTTGGTACCATTCGATAGAGGACCATCGACTTCCTATTGCGAAGTGATGCGGGTTTTCTTGCAAAATCACTTTGGGCCGAGTTGTGGCGGAATATATCTATTCAATATATATATAAATATATATTGAATATATATTGAATATTCAATATATATATAAATATATATTGAATAGAACCACGCCACCGATCCCGCGCCAGATCAGTTCCGCGCCAGTACGTTTCCGCGCACACGGTTCCGCGCCAGTTATAAAAACATTATAAAAATATGAATGTTTAACTTGTTTCGTTGCTTGTTTTGGCACATTTTCAAGCCCAGCTGCTCTTATTGTAGAAGGTTGGGAACTTATTTACTTTAACTATCCACCCCATTTATTCGCAAGAAGTTCATCAATCAACTTTATTTATTCAGAAAGGTCAGCCTTTCTTTCTTCCTCGATGTTACTGTCATGTCCGATGTTCATGCTGTGGAAAAATTGTGGATGAGAGATGGAATAGAACCATCACTGAAAGAGCCCAGACCGAAGCACAACCGACTGTGCCACCATCCAACCCGATGACGGGTTATTTATTTTCATTTATATTCTTTCTGGAAGTGCGGACACAACAGTTACTCAATTTTCCCTGTGGCAAAGTCTATGAGAGAAATTAATAAAGAAAAGATAAATTTTTCTTTCCAATTTCACCAATTTTCACCAAAATAGAAGTTAACGTTTGAATCAATATTCTTATTTTTCCATTTTAGTTATTACCACATGGTTAGTCCTTGATTTCCTAAATTCGTTATCATCCTTTTTAATTATTCAGAATACTGAGTCGTGAATGTTAAGATTTTTGATTCGTCCATGTTTATCAAATTAAATAAGCACAGCCAGAGAAGTTAGAACTCATGTAAAAAAGACAAGAATAAAAAAGATGGTACCAAAAAAGTACATGGTCCTGCCTAACCATGTGGTAATAACTAAAATGGAAAAAATAAGAATATTGATTCAAACGTTAACTTCTATTTTGGTGAAATTGGAAAGAAAAATTTATCTTTTCTTTATTAATTTCTCTCATAGACTTTGCCACAGGGAAAATTGAGTAACATCGAGGAAGAAAGAAAGGCTGACCTTTCTGAATAAATAAAGTTGATTGATGAACTTCTTGCGAATAAATGGGGTGGATAGTTAAAGTAAATAAGTTCCGAAGGTTGCTCTAAGGTTTGAGAGCCCGCTTTTTCATTTTGGTGACAGCAATTTGTGCCTGAACATAAAGGTTGAAAAAATAAATTGATAACCTGAACACGAGCCGGTCCACTTTCTATACACACATGATTACCAATTTCTTTTAGAATTTGATTATCCACATCAGTGTGGATTCGTCCTTTGCAATTAATTCCATGGCTTGCCTGAAACTCGCATCGCCAAAAAAGTTTGTCACCGTCCTTATTTTCTCTGTCAAATACATACAAAAATCCGTTATGTGGAATTTTTTGCCTATTACGTTTAGTCAGAATTGAGACATTCCTAGAGAATTTTTTAAATAGATTTTATAAAAATTAAAATAAATTTTAAAATATAAATTAAAAATGACTGGCACGGAAACGTGCCCTTTATAACTGGCGCGGAACCGTGTGCGCTGAAAAAAACCCCAGCCATTTTCCATGAATATTTTATGAAATTAGTAAAAATCCAAATTCATTCCTGTGAGGTGGTACTTATCCGCTGCAAAAAAATCTAACATGCTGCAAAAAAATCTAACACATGTTGGTCAATTGTAGAATACTTATGCTGCAAGGTCCCCACCCCCTCCCCCTTACTGACATATTGCCTAATTCTTGTTATTTCTGGTTTCTTTTTAGTTTTGTATAGCTCTGCAAAATACGCTCATAAGTAGTGCCTTCTTTCGCTAACTGGTCTATTTTTTGACATATTTCATAATTATATTTCCCTTTTGTTGGATCTCTGTTAGGGCAGCTATCCTCCCCACTGTAATCAAAATCCTCATAATCACTTCAGTATCCGAGTCGAAATCAAGAATAATATTATCAGGTTGTGGAATATTTAAATCAGAAATAGCATTTTAATTATTACGGGAATATTTGTACTTTTTTTAATCAGAAATAGCATCCAATTCAAATTATTCATTTTTAAAAGAAAAAAATGTGATTTTTCATTTTTAAAAGAAAAATTATGTGATTAATTATCACATAATTAATTTATTTTTTGCTAAATCAAATATTATTCAAAAAAAGGAGTCAAAGGCAAAAGCAGAGAGAGAATCACTCCTTTCTTTTCTCTCATCCACCTCTATACTCAAACGCTCCAAAAAATCGTAACTTTGACTGACCATAACTCGGCCCAAAGTGATTTTGCAAGAAAACCCGCATCATTTCGCAATAGGAAGTCGATGGTCCTCTATCGAATGGTACCAAAAAATACCGAATTTTTGTAAACAGTATCCGATGTTCCCTTGTTAGTGGATCAAAATTCTAAATAAAAAATCGAGTCAATGGCGAGATAGTACACTAATTCCGCTATGTCCATTTTAAACCACTGTGGGGTGGAGTTCCCAGCCAAACTGTTTTAATTATAAAAACTTCAATTTTATTTTTTAAAGTTGGAGAAAGGATACATAACTTTATGTAATTCTTATCCAAAATGGAAAACTGTTCAGTCTTTGGGTTGTGCTTCGTTAGAGAAAAATATTGAATTGGCAACTTTGCTTTTTAATAATTGCGTGCTTATGTTACGTCAAAAGGAGAAGAAATAAAGTTGAGAAGAATATTTTTTTGATTGTTAAAGTTTCTATTGGCCTCTTATTATTTTGTTTTAGTTTAATTGGCTATTGTTAAATTTTTTTTGAGTTTAATTAAATAAAAAAATTTTTGATTTTTGCCAAAAAGCCGCAGTGCAAGGGGTAAGTGGTTTAGGGGCACACTCCGATGTACCGCGAGCCCAATGTACCGCCAAGCTATAACATTGTTCAAAATTGTCGAATCCGTGGCGCCCTGATATGGTTCGATGCAGATCGACCAGCTTTATCGAACCATACCATGGCGCCACGGATTCGACAATTTTTAACAATGTTATAGCTCAGCGGTACAGTGGTCTCGCGTACACTGGCCTGCTCCCGTGGTGTGGGAGTGTCTGTGTGCAAATTAGAAAAATATCATCAATATTTTTAACAAATCAAAATTTTTATTTAAAAAATAATTCAATTACAAAAATAATTTAAGTCCGAAAAAATATTTGGGAGAGATCCATTTATAAGTGTGGCAATATTCAAAATGAACCCGCCTTAATAACTAAAGGCAGAAAAGATATTAAATTTTAATGAAAGAGAGGAATGTTTTGTCAAAAATAACAGAAAGTCTTGATTTAACATAAATAAAACATGTTGAAAGAAGAATAATTATTTTGGTGTACCATAAGTTGCATATTCACTACTATTTTCGTCAAGTAAAAGCTGTTGTTCTTGAAAATCATATTCGATGAAACTAAAAAAGAAATTTTTATATTAGTTTTAATCAGACAAATAGTTTACATAAGTCATAATATGTCGGTATGAATCAACTTAATTTGTAGTATTTTCACAAGAGTATTATTAATTCAACTATTAGGTAAATTGTGGCAGGAAAATAGAAATGGAATGTTCTCCATATACTATTCTCCATATAATGTAGTTAAAAAAACAAACTTTGAAGAACGAGAATTTCTATAAAGTTGAAGCAATTCATTTAATCTCTCTTTGCTTTCTTCCATTTTTTCTTCCAAACAATTTTTCCCAAATTGTTTATCTCCACCTTGCTCCATTGCTTCTTCGAATTTATGTACTGCAAAAAAGGATAAAAATTTAATAGAATAAACAAGCAACCATTAGCTTTTTTGTGCCACATTTTTTGAAAATCTGTTGCAATAGAGCGAAGACAAATAGCTATCGAAGTATGGTTAGCTAGTAAAAGACCAGTTACTGGATTTTGACTGTGGTTCATGTAGGGAGATATACGACAGGTTGTCATATTTAATGTTCCAGGCATCCAACTAGGTGATCTTAAAAATAAATTGATTTGAGATATTAATATTTTATATAAGCTAATGCAAGATTGAATACTAAATTATTATATATAAGAGAAAAACTAACATAATAAATCCACTACGAATATCAATGGACTCTCCAATATAAAAAATAAATTATTTAAACACCAAACTCACCTATAAACGTTCTTTTGTGTCATATTTCTCATTTTAACATGATCATACAATGAACCAATTCCCATTCCACCAGCCGCTGTAGGCCCCGCAAAACTCATTATTGGATCTGTATTACTCTGTAAAATAATTAATCCAGACAATAGATTGTGCAAATCATCCTCTTCTGCGATTGGACGGGTTTCATTTGGTGTTGAAGCAGTAACATCTGTGTGAACCGAAGCTGAACGTTTTAATATAGACGCCTTTTGTTCTTTTAAAAGTTGTTGGCTGGAGCTTATTAATTGGCCTGAAATGAAGAAATTTTTGGTGTATTAGAAGAATAAACATACGAGGATCTAATAAATGGTTGAGAATGCTTTTTGGCTCTGGAAATTTGACAAGTTGAGGTCTTTGAGTATCTTCTCGAACAGGAACATATGGAACGAGTGCTGAAAAGAAAATAGATTTATTTCGCAAAAAAACTATCAATTTTCAAACCTGGCTGTGCAAAAACCATCGGTGGAAGAGGACAAATCATTTCAGAAATATGCATCAAACGAGAAAAAGTAGGTTGATAAAATCTCATTGGAGCAGTCAATCCAGCCATTACTTGACTCATCATCGAATTAATTTGGGCATAATTTTTCTTCTCTGAAATGGCTAAAGTCGCTAAATTCTCATTAGTTCCATCTCTTCTTAAACGATGCATTGGATTAACTGATTTACAATGACGTTCGAAAGCATCATTATCAAACAAAAGGCACATATCAGCATGATCCATTATTGAGTCGAGAGAAAGTACAATATTGTATGGAGCAACTAAAAAATAATTCTTTAATTAATAAAAAATAGTTTGACAGACGTGAAGAAAAAACTGTTAGGGCAGGGAAAATACAAAGAAATTTTCAAAATTAGCCCTTTATTGTTAACTAATAATTTATTTCGAAATTCGATTTGAAAAATACACAAAACATAAAAAATAATTACCTTGAACATTACAAGTCAAAAGCTGTACAGTCGAATAAGTCTGGATTAGATTCTTCCCATATCTAAACGCATTTGAATAAAATTTTTATATTATGTCCGAACCTATCACGAAGCTCCTGAAGTATTCTTGAGCCAAGTCCAGATCCAGTGCCTTAATTAATTTTTTAAATAACAAAATTAAAGACTTATTTAATAAAAACCTCCAAGTATAGAATGGCATATTGCAAAGCCTTCAAGATTATCTGCCTTTTCTGCCTCAGTTTCAATTATTTGCAAAATGCTTTCAACGACCTCAGCTCCTTGATTAAAACCTTTTGCCCAATTGTTTCCAGCGCCACCGCCAGTTGGACCTTGATAAACATTATCAACATCAAATAGATCAGAATATTGATTTAATTCGCAGTTGCAGATTTCGCCCAAAACACGCGGTTCTAAATCAACAAGAACTGCACGTGGTACCCACTTTGCTCCACAATTCGCCTGAAATTGTTAAACATTTTCCCCGATTTTTATAACGTTGAAACCTCGTTGAAGAAAACATCTTTACAATCTTCGCCTTTTCTATCCTCTTTTGCAATATGTCCTAATGGAGAAATTCCATGCTCCGCGCATAACCGTTCCCAAAACGCCATACCTAATTGATTTCCACATTGACCAACCTAAAGATAGAAATAATTCGAAAGAGCTAATTAAACAGCTACCAAACCTGTACTGTTATTATGTTGTTTGGCATGTATACAATAGAAAAGATTAATTTAAAAAATCGTCAAAGTAAATAGTATAGATTTAAAAAATATATTAAAATAAATTAGGCAATTGACCAAAAATCAAAAAAAAATTCCGGCAAACTTAACATTCAAACAAATAAAATATATAAATTTACGTAAATATTTTTTTAAACAAAAAAAAAGAAAAAAAGGTTAACTCAAAATAAAGATGAATTGAGATGCGTAACAGATAAAAAATATTTAATCAAGCCCAAATCAAAATCAACGACGCAAAGCAACAAATTGTTCAAAAATTTGACGAATCCTTGGGCCAATTGTTGGCGAAGAAAATAATTCTTGTTCCAAATCGTTTGAAAATTTCCACATATTTGCATCATGCTAAAAAATTTAAAATATAAATTTCATATTTCACATACCTTCAAAAATATATATTTGAATCGTCCAGACACATAATTATAAAAATTTGTCTCTACATCAGTACCATCTGTTTCGCAATTCAATAAATGTTCTGTTAGAATAAGTGTAAACTTCTGAAAAAATAGAATTTATTTTTTATTATTTTAAAAAGCTAACTAACGTGACAAATATTAAGAAAAACACTTCGAAGAACCTCATCTACTTGTTCAATGTCATTTTTAATTAAATCAATTTTGTCTTTTGCTTGAAATATCTGAAAGAACAAGGATTATTATGAGTTAAATCATGTAAATCCTAATTTTACGATGAAAATAAAAAATCTATCTAAAAGATATTAATAAATTTTCTAAAACAAAAATTCATAAATAATCAATAATATAAAAATTACAAGTTCATCCAAGTCCAAAAGATCCACTCCTTCTTCTCTTCGCTTTTTGTTTTGTTCACTATTAATATTAGTCGAATCCATAGCATCATCACCCGAGTTTAATTCAGACGAAACTTCTTTAGCCCTTCCGCATTCCACTCCATTAATATTTTCTTCAGTAGTAGTTTCTCCCTCTTCCCTTTCATTATTTCCACCTTCCGCTAAATTCCCGTTCCTTTTTTGTTGTTCACGTTCACTATTACATGCTTCAAGACGTTTCAAATAGCCGCAAGAATAATTTAAATCACGTGAAAGTTTATTTCGACGCCTATCCAAATGAATAATTGCAGCGGTGAGTACGTCCCAGACCCAAGTTCTAAAATAGTTTTAACACGATAAAAATAGTTTAGAAATAAATTTAATTTTTTACTAAAACATTCAATAGCCACCTTTTAAATTCAATCTTCATCTCCTCAGAAAAAACCCAAGCCTGTACAATTGCTGGTTCTAAAATGTTCATTTTGATCATTTTATCAACGAGAACTGTCATCATCTAAAATAAAATATGTATAAAAAATCTTATTTGTAAAATTAGATACCTGTTTATTTAAACTCCAAGAATCATAAAGTGTTCGCAAAATAATCGATTGCATTGCTTCATTGTTGATTGTTAGTGTTGTAAGTGTTGTATGATATCTTTAAATAGAAATTAAAAATAAATTAGATTTATAAATTAATTAAATTACCTAGTAAGAGCGGCAAACGAATGCGTTAAAGTTTTCGATGCTAATTTGAGCAAAACCGCAAAAAACACGGAAAAAGAATCTTCAGAATAAACATTTTTGTCTTCCATCTGTTCGTCTTCGTTTGCATTGTTTTCTATCAATAAAGCGAGTATCTCATCATCTTTCGCTCTTTGTGTTATAAGTTCTTTGAACTGTTCAGCCTTTGAAAATGCTGGATGCCCTTCTAAAATAGAAAATAAAAAAGAAAATTAAATAAAAGACTGAAAACAACCATCATCTAAAACATAGCTAATTACAGGCTCATCAGGTATAACTGGACCAAATTCACCAGGAAGCAGTTCAACAAGCTTTTTGTGATAAGATAATCTCAAGCATCTATCAATAACTTCTCTAACAAAAATTCGTTTAGGATGTAAAGAATCAAACTTAAAAATTTTACGAAATTTATGAGAAAAACAAATTAAGATAAACCTCAATACATTCTACCCAATCACTCCAAGACCATCGATATTCAAAGTTGGAAAGGTGAAAGCTGAACCAATCGACAAATCTAAATTAAAAAACAATTGAAGGTAGTGGTTAGAGGCTGAATAGAAAAGACCGGCAAAAGAAACAATTATTTGAAATTATAAAATTAGTCAATTCCCGCCAAAATTATTTTCAACAAGTCATAAACAAGCTGTCGATTTAATGGGCAATTTTAAATCAAAATCCGTTCTGAATAAATCGAACAATTAAAGAAAAAAACCTGTCAATGCAGGTAATTTGCATAGAATCGACTCTCTGAAATAAAAGTTCCGCGGCCATAGCTAAAACCTGAGGCATTGAATTGGATTGACTACGACAAAGTTCAATTAAAAGAGAACCATAAAAAATTTCCTATAAAATTTAAAATTATTTTAAAAAATATTCAAAAAAAATTATACACAATGAGGCGATTTAGGCAAACGAAAAAGTTGACTAAAAATAACTTCAGTAATCATATAATTTAATGGAATGGCCTCTTTTCGGTAATAACCCAAAAGAGCATCTGCACAAGACTTTCTATCAGTATAATTATTATCAATAATCCAATTTAAGTCTTCCTCAACCAAAAAACGTTCAATCGAATCATCTGACGATAATGGTGGTTCCTAAAAATTAAATAGAAATGCATTGTAAAAGAAAAATTAACGTCTTCAGGAAGTTCTGAGACACTAAAAAGTCGAAAGACAACACGAGGAAGTGGATAATTCTTTCCCGCAGTAATAATCGAATTGTCCATACTTAAAAGGAAGAATAAAATAAGTTAATGGTAGTTAAATAAGAAACAAACCAAGGAAGATCATGTTGGATTGCATCTTTCAAAGAATTATTAAACGAGACATAGATTCGTAGAATATGCTTCTCAAGCCAATTGGAAGCACTAAACTTTTGTATTTGCATCCAAAGGCTGTCCAGATAATCAGTTTGTAAAACTTTTTGATCCGACCACACTTGCAGCATCTAAAGAATAAAAAAATAACATAAAATTTTTTAGTATAAAAAAGCAAATAAAACCGAAGTGTGCAGTTTCTTTCTCTTCCCAATATAAAGATCAATCCTTTTAAGAAGTAAATCAAAACGTTCTGGAGAATCTTCATTAAGTGCAGTACCAATCCAAGGAAGAGAATGTAAAACAGAATAAACGAAAAAGTCAGATTTAATCTAAAAGAAATGTTTTGAATTATAAAAAAATTACTTTTATTAAAAAATTTTTCTCACACTTTCCTCTGCAGCATTGTCAATAAAATCCTCAAGGAAATCAAGAATTGAACTTAGCGTAAGAACACGGGAATTGCCAAGATCACACAAAAAGGCAACCTAGATTTTAAATTAAAATATAGAAAAATATTTAAAAAATTCATACAAGACGAATGAAAATTTCATATTCTTCTTTGACAAATAAATTGTGCAACTCTTTCAAAAATTTTGATATTAACTAAAAAAATATTAAGAATTTGGCTTATTTAAATTACAAATATTAAAATAGTTTAATTGTTATTTATGAAAGGAAGCATGTTTCTTAAAGATTTCCAATTAAGTCTTTATTTGGAAAAGTCTCAATAGTTACAGCAGAATCTTTGTTGAATGGATTAATATAACCCCTAAAATATAAAAAGTTACCGCTTTTCCAAACGCTTCAGAACGAGCATTTAATAAACCAACAAGAGTTGAGAAAACAGTAATTTTTTCAGGTAAATAAGCAGCACTACAAAACAAAATACATTAAAAACCAAAATAAACTAACCATTCGAAAAGTATATGAATTATTTGTCCTTCATAAGGATCTAAATTAGACTCCAAAACTGAAACTAAATCTTCAAGAGCAGTTTCCACAGTACCACCATTCAAATCTTGATCAAGTCTTTTTATCATATTAACCAATTTTGGTCCAATATCACCACCCGCGGGCAGACGTCGCTTTTTCGTATTATCAAAAACTTCCATTTCTAAAAGTTTAACAATAAATCAGAAAACATCCAGCCTTACCTTCGTCTAAATTGCGTCTTTTTGAAGATACAGAAAAGTGGCCCTCAGTTGGTAAGTCAGAATGCATAGAATCAACGTCCACTATAAATGTTAAACTGGAAACATCAAAAAATCCTTAAACTATGATTGAAAGAGGTAAATATGAGAAACTTGCAACAAAAAACAACTTTAATTAAATACAAATCTTTACCATTTTAAACACCAAAAATAAACTAATGAAAAAAATAAAAATGAGCGATTTTATTTAGGCATTAAAAGAGGCGGTGCTGGTGGGGGAGGAAGTAGTGGAGTGCAAAAGACATCTGACAAGGATTCTGAATGAGAGGAAGATGAAAATTGTTCAAAAGTCTTTTTCGTTTTGTCAAGCAAAAATGGTGGTATAGGCGCAGGTGGTAATGAAGGTGGAATAGGTGGTGGAGGTACCAACATAGATGCCAGTGAAGTGACCGAAGAAGTGGTTGACGGTTTATCCTTGAAATATTTAAAATAAAAAGTATAAAACTTTTTTTTAATTAACCATAAATAGAGAAGTAATTTGTAATATCTGTTGTTGTTGAAATTCTTGAGTTGGAATGTGTAAATTAGACCTTTGTGCTGTTATAGTATCAGAAAAAATGCTTGATGAAGATTTTGAAGTGAAACCAACCATGTATGATTCAGAACTTGAAGGAAATGATGATCTGTAAGTGTATATTAGAAATATTTTAAAAAATTCTAACCCAATGTCCGTAATGTTAGGCAACAATTTTTGAATAGAAGGCAGTGGTGGAGGTGGTGGGAGGGTAGAAGTTGATGAAATTGTTGTGGAAGAAAACCCGCTTTGGGAAGGCTAACAATAAGTAAAAAATTTATTAAAAATTCAAACTAAAAAATCTTACAGTTATTTTAATCTTTATATCCCTAAAACCAAGCATTGGTCCACTTCGTTTAAACGGTTGTCCACCTTTAGTCACACCAATATATTTTTCGCTATCCTCCTCCGCTTCCTCAGCCTCCCGTTCTTTTGCCCTTTTTTCTGTTCGTTGTTTCCAACTTTCATGCCTCCCTAAAAGATAAATTTTTAATTGAGAAGTCAAACCCAAAACAATGATTGCATAAACTAGATATATGAGATTAACAATAAGTCCTAAAAATATTGTAAGCTATAAATTACGCTGGGTTCAGAAACGAAACGAAATTCAAGAGAATGATGGTTATCTTATTTCTTTAGCCTACTAATTTCCAGACATGATTGATTATACATAATATAAAATAATTGGTAAAAAATTAATACTTTGAAAAAGTTCCTCTTTGTCAGCCTCATCTTCACTACTACTAACTTTTTCCATTAAATGCGCTGTATTATCTGATGGTAGAAAACCTCTCTTTGGCTAAAAATTAAAATAAATTTTAAACATAAAATGAATATACTCGAAGTAATGGAGCAGAAGAATTAGAATTTTGTTGTTCCAAAGCTAATGCAAAAGTACTACTCATCCAACGAACAAATGGAACAGGGGCTGAAGAAACTTTAAGCTGTTCATCCTCCATTTGTTTAGATATTGCTTAATTTTAAAATAATAATAATAAAGAAAATTTTAAAATCAAAATATATTTTATATGTTAAATTTTATAAGAACTATATAAAGATGGGGAAGGAAAATAAATTTATGAAATTAGCAGCAGCTATTTAGTATTACTGAAAAATTGTTGAAATATATCAAAAAATTTTCCGAACAAGTCTTTAAAAATTGCATAGAGTAAATTTTCAGGTCTCTAGCTATCAAAACAAAACTTTTGTGCATAAAAATAAAAGTTACTAGCTAATTGTTCCATTGATTTTGTTTTTATTGCCTCCAATAATTCTTCACCTTTTGGTAATTTTCCTTCCTAAAAATAAAATTTAAGTATAACTAAAAAACAATAGAAACCATTGCAAGTTTTGTTGCATTTTGTGTCGCAATTTCCAAAAGTTTTTTTCTATCAATTTTTCCACTACTGTCGAGATAATCAGATTTAGGGCGCAATGGGCCATAAAAACGCATAATACCACGTCCTCTTCCACGACCACGTCTGCAATCAAAGTTGAAAATTAATTCAATTAAAAATTTTTATTTACCCTCGTGCACGCATCCCAGGAAGGAAGGTTCCTCTACCACGACCCCTCCCACGAGCTGCAGCTTTAAAATAAGCGAGTGCCTTGCGCCCACCTCCAGGTACATATGGCTTCCGTAATGTTGATACCAAATTGGGATTTCGGCCTCTAGACGATAAAGGAAAGGAACTGGCTGCCTGAGCTGCTTTTTCTTTTTCAATTTCATACCTTAGAAAATATTAATATAAATAATTAAATGTAAAATAGATAATTTGGTAAAATATTTAATTTAAAATAAAGAAGAATGCAAAATTTAAAATGAGCATAAATGACGGAAAATAACGGATAACAAAAAATCGTTTAAAAAGGAATATTTTTCCTTATTTTTATTTAATTTTAAGAAGAAATAAAGCAAAAATTAAAATATTCTTACATCCGCCAAGAAGAAACATCCGGACCATAATCACGAAGTTTCGGAGCTTTCTCTTTTTTCTCGTCATCACTGCTTTCACCTTAACGAAATTTAAAATATTTAGAAAATAATTTTAAAAAAATGACTTGTATATGAACGTTTAGTGTCTTTTGAATGACTTAAAGTCGAAGATGATCGTTTACTACTGCTGCTACTCGCTCTAGAATGTGAACTTTGTGATCTATTTCTTTCAGTTGATTTTGTCGGAGAACGTGTTCTTGGCGAATGTGGTGGCGAAAACGAACGGTCGCTGTGATGACTAGCCCTGAAATGAAATTTATAAAAAAAAATTTGGACAAGTTTAACGAATAAATGTCAAGGAAAAAATATTTCAACATTAATTAAAAATACTGGTTAATTTTTAATAAATATAAAAAAACCTAGACTCCGATTCAAAATTAGACCGTAACTTCTTTGTTTCAATCCTCCCTTCTTCTTCTTCCTCCATTTCTTCCTTGCTTAAATCTTCATTCAACTCTTCAGTTACATGTTTCCTCTTCCTTTTTTTATGTTTAATATGTTTTTCCTTTTTCCTATAAAAAATTTTAATTAAAAAGAATACTTCATTAAAAAAACTTTTCTGCCTTCTTTCTTTTGTGCCTTTTTATTTCTTCTGATTTTGAAGTTTTTACTCTTTTTTTAGTATCAATATCATCATTAGATATATTTTCTTCATTTAAAGTTTCCTCAAAAGCATTCTTTTTATTTAACTTTATTTTATGCCTTTTTTCACGTCTTAATCTTTTTGCTTCCTTTTTTAAACGTTTTGCTGCTTTCCTTGCTTTTTTCTAAAATTTAAAATTTATTTAAAAATAGTAAATTTTTAAAGAATAAAAAATAATTTGTTCAAACAATACAAAAGAAAATATTTTTAATTTCTCTTGGAAAATAACCATTTAATAAATTAAAAATACAAACTTTAGCTCTAGCTTCTGCTTTATCTTCAGAAAATTCTTCTCCCAAATCATTTAATTCTTCCATTTCATTATAATCAAAGTCTTCTAGATTCTCGTCAAATTGATCTTGTTGTTCTTGTTCTTCACTTTCTGCATTTTTTTCACTCACCGAAACATTCTCGTTGCCAAAGAATTCTTCATCAGCCTCACTGACTTCGTCAAAACTTATCATTTCTGAAAAAGAAGAAAGCCAAAAAAACCTGAAAAATTTCCCTAAATTTTAATTCGAACAGTTTAAATGGAAAAGACAAAGAAAAGGAGGATTAGATTTATTCGTAATGGTCGAAAAACCAAAAAGATATGGAATTGTGTCAGGACTCAACCGGCGGGACTCAATGATCCACTTCATTGTAGGGGACGTTTCAGAGTAGAGCAACTCAAGGCCGTTTCGGAGTAGCCGGTTCAGAGTACGGCAAGAATTGGACATTTCAGAGTACGAAAGTTTTTGGAAATTTTGAGAATTTTAAGTACGAAGGTCGATTTTTAAGTAATTTACTTCCATTTTAAGTAACACCTGGGTTATTCACCCATGTTTTTATTGTAGTTTCGGTTTTTTTACCTAGGTGTTTTTATTCTTTATCAGTAAATAATAGTTCAGTAAGTGGTAATAACAAAATGCATTAATAAAAAGTTTTTAATAAAAAATATATTTTTTTTTCCAATTTTATTCTAATGCTGTATTAATTGTGACTTCTGAAATTGGTCGATTTGGACGTGTAATTTTAAAAAGCAGAATTTTGAAATTTTCGTAGAAGCTAACCAAATATCCGCTTCCCTAAAATAATATTTAAGTTTAGAACACTCTTCTCTTTTTTTACTCTTGTATTAGCAAAATTAGCCCCAACAATTGGCATATTATCAAAACGTTGTCCATAACGAAATTCTATCTAAAAATGACAAAATTAGATTATCATTTGATTTTAATTTTTAAAAGACTTTATAAGCATCAGGATTTCGTGAATGTAATTTCCAAATTCGTATATAAGTATCTTCACTTGCTGATAACTTAATTAATTAAATTAATTATATAAATTCTTTCCCTTTTTCTCCCTTTATTTACAATATATCCCTCCGCCTTTATATAAAATATTTACAAACAATATAAGCAGATTCTGTAGCAACCGCCAAAGCTGTTATTTGTCTAAAATGTGCATTAACTTCTGCTAATAAAGCACCACTTGTGGCAGAATAAACAGAAATCTGTCCCAATAAATTCCCACAAAATACTTGTTTTCTTAGAATATTTATGACTGACAATGGCTGACTAAAAATTTTAAAAAATTCTTTTACTTTAGAATTTACAGAAAATTAAATTAATCAAGAATTAAACATAAGAAAAAAAGCAACTAATAATTAAAATTTCAACGACTTACTTTGTGCTAATTCTCTTACTGACGGATTTTAAGTTTTTTGTCCAAACTAGTATATTTCCTAAATATTTTAAAAATTATTTTAAAAAATTTCCAATATTCAATTAAACTTTTTGACAAATTTACTTATAAAAAGAAGAAAATTCCCTTAAATTGCTTAAATTTTAATAATCATTCCAGTATTGTTTATCTGTATTTTTTATGAAATTTTTGATTTTCCTTGAATGTAATTAACTAAAAATATGTACATAACAATCTCCTAATTTTTTGTAAATTAAAAAAAATATTTTTCAATAATTAATTACCCCCAACATCACCAGAAACAGTAATTAAATCAAAACTACAAGAAGCAATATCAGTTATAGGAGAATTATGTTCCTTTAAATTCTTTTTTGTTTGAAAATTATTTTCACTATTACAGGCTATTTGGATTATTTCTCCAGAATTACAACCTTTTTAATTTAAATTTTATTTAAATTAATTTAAATTTTTCTTTAAATTTACCTACAAGTATTATACTTTCAACACAACTTATTCCTTTAAAAAAATAAATTATTTTTTAAAAAATTTAAAAAAACAAATAACCAACCTCTAGTAAAAGGTGTTGATTTTAATGTTTTTTTATTATCTTTACAGGTTAATAAAGGATCTGAAGTTTGTTTTGTAAATAAACATTTTCTTGTTATGAAGTCAAATATCTACATTTATTTTTAATTAAATTTAAATAAAATTAACGTTAAATATATGTCCCTTGAAACTTTATTTCCTTAATTAAAACGTTAAATTATAATAAAAAGGATGTCTAAGAGAGGTTACTTTTTAAGAAATAATTTTTCTAACCGAAACAAAAGTTCCAGCTAAAATAATAATTACAGGAATATTACTTCTGTTTGATGGTAAAGCAACTAAAATATTATTTAAATTGATTTTAAATAAATTTTTCGTTTCAAACCATAAATTTGCATTAAACAAATCGGCTTTTCACCAGCCTCTCCAGCACTTTTAGCTATTTCTTCTTCACTTAATAATTCACAACAATCTTGCTCCATTTTTTCATTCCAAGATAAAAGTTGGACCTTTTTTGGGGAAAGAAAGAATTTATTTTTGAATTTTTAAATTAGCCCAGCTTCTTCTTCTCCATTTGTCTACCCTTTTAAAATCAAAATTATTTTTACTAAACTTTCGTTTTTCCTTTTTAGTTTTCTAAAAAAATTAAATTTAACAAAATAAAATTAACCGCATCCTTTCCTAAATAAGCAACATAAGTCTGTCCTTTTGTTTTATGATTATATACAGATAAATTGTTTGAAAGAAAAGCAGATCCTGTCTTAAAAATATTTTTTCCTAAAATTTTTTACTTTCCAAACCTTTACTGGAAATTCAAATGTTGGTTCGAACATTTTAAAAAATAAACTTTTTAAAGTTTTTAGAATAAAAGAAAGGGGGAGTTTAAATGTTGTAGTGAAGGTAAAAATAAAGAAAAATAAATAAAGGAAATAATTACCATGGAGATATTAAATATTAAAAATAAGTAATAGAAAATTATATAATTAAGAAGAAAATTTTTAAAAATTATTTGAAATAAAATAGAGAAACAAATTAAATTTTTGTTTGAGATTATTAACTTTACAAAATTTTTAATAACAATCTACTATGTCAACTAATAATTTAAATAAAATTATCATAAATATTATTTTTTTAATTTAAATTTAAAATCTATTTTTTATCATTTTATTTTACATCTTTACGGCAGATCATTTTAACTGTTTCGATAAAAAACTTTCCAAAGTTTGGAAAAGGAGAAGTTTATTGAAACTGAGGAAATGTTTTCCTTCCCTCCGATAAATAATATAAAAGACTTGAAACAAAAAATCTCTCACTTAAGTCTAAGGTCACCACTTGCTCTTGTCACAACAGACTGGCATCTTCAACAACCAATGAGGGAGGAGACAGGTATTCAGAACATTTTTTTAAGCAAAAAATAAATTTATTTTTTTTAGATAAAAAGAATTACATCGAAGAGCGTGATGTCACAGTTGAGACACAGGACAAAGAGTTTGGTCTCACATTTTTCGATGGGAGCTCACCGCCGCGAATAAAGGAGATTGACATCCTTTCCTGTTTTGTGGGGATTCTGCTTGTTGGAGACGAGATTTTGCAGATTAACAAACGGGTGGGTTTCTATAAAAATTTAAAAAGATTGCAATGTCAAAATTAGCTTTTTAAGGATATAAAATCGCCACAGGACATCGATGAAATAAATCATTCTCCCATGGAAGGACTCAGGAATTTTCAGGTCCGCCTTCGCAGGGATAACTTCTACCGTCTCCTTGTTCTCAAGATCACTAAAATCAGACGAAAGCCACATCGTTTTGCTATCCTTCTACAGGCGAGGTGGCGACAGGACATTTCTCTTGGACTAATAGTGACTGATAAGGTTCGTCATTTTTGTCAAAGTATATAGCGTAAAATTTAGAGAGAGAATGTTGTAGTATGTGACGTTAAGGCAAGCAGTTTGGCAGTAAATCACTTCTATCCAGGCGATATCATAACTAACGTAAATGGCGAGAGAGTGACTAGAATGGCTGAAGCCAAAAAGGTGCTAGTTATTTTAAAAAATGGAACAAAAAACCTTTTTTCACAGGCCATACGAACGAGTATTGCCATGCAAAATACTGTTACTCTAAGGATTGTGCGAGACATCCCTCCATTAAAAAGGATCACTGATATGGCCGAAGACGCGCGTTCCATCCTTTTGCGTAATGCCGGTTTCTGGCGTCGAGAGTGCATGCTCAAGTCTATTGAAGAGAAGGGAGAAGTAAAGCCTCAACGAGGTAAATAGAATAAATAACTTCCTAAGCTTAATTCCAAAATTTCAGTATATTTTGTGCCCAAAATCGAGTCTGTGCCTTTTCCAGTTGACGAGACAGGGAAAGAACTTATCGCAACACCAAGTCGAGCTGGCGGGTCAATAGTAGAAAACTCTTCAGAGGACGAAGATGAAATTGAAGGGGAAAGGGAAATAATATTCCATGAGGATGAAGATGACGAGGATATATAATGGAGAGAATAATAGAGAGGACTGATAAAACTAAATTCTCATTTGTTTTTTTTTGTTTTCCTAAACATTCTCTCTTTTTTGTTTTGCCTTATTTTTTTGTTTGGTAAATTATTTAAAAAATACTTTTTTTTGTTTTATTCTTTTAAATTTCTGGAGAATAAAAAAAAAGTACTAGAAAAAATCCATATATTAACGTAGCCAAATGCTCTATGTATAGACTTTTTTACAGCGTTCTACTACTCACGTTTTTTTCAATAAATAAGAAGAATAAGGCAATGACAAAGCGAAAATTGGCAAGTAAAGAAGAAAAAAACGGAAAATTTTTTGCCCATTTTTTCTCTTTTATTTTCTTTTGGCATTGAATATTGAGTCAATTCTTCTTTTTTCCCTTGATGGATACTTTTACAATAAAAACAAAAAATAAAATTTTTTAAATAAAAATGTTCTCAATATTTGGTTTATTACTTTTACTTTATAATTCTCTCGGTCAACATCAAGGGGTTGAAAAAGCTTTGCGTAAATTAAAAGAGTCTGTTGATAGATTTGAATTTAATTTCCATAAAGCTGTTTTGGAAGAATATGGACAAATTGGAATGGTTAAATCTGTAAGGGCTAATTTAAAAGGAATTTTTAAGAAAAAAAAAATTAAAAAAAGGCATTGGAGGAACGTGCAGAAAGGCATTTTAATTTACTTGACCAAACAAATATTGACTTTCCTGCAGCGGTAATACAAACAGAAAAAAGAATTGAAAACTTTTTTGCATCAAAAGTAGGGGCATTGAAAAGGTTAGAAATTTTGAGAAGACGGTGGTTGGTTCGGAGAATGGGAGTATATTTATAACGAACCTTTTGGGGGTTCCCTAAAAACTAAAGAATAGGAATAAAATAAAGGCTTCCCTTAAATAAGTTTGAGGAACTCGATCGTTATAATGAGGAAATACAAAAAGGGGGTTTTCTAAAAATTTAATATTTTAAAGGCTTGCATTGGCAGCGGAGAAAGAAGCTTTAAAAGTTAATATTGATGAGGAGTTACCAATAAGTCTTACAGACAAAGAATGTTCTCGTAATTTGAGACAATTAAATAAAAATTCTGTTAAAAATTCACAAATATGGGAAAGAATAAATAAAGGAGAATTACAACAACGTTCTGGTGTTCATGTAAAAATTTTGAATATTTTAAAATAAAAATTATTAAAAAAAAGGTAGCTATAGAATCTTATAAATGTAGTGGGGAAGTAGTTAGAGATTTAAATTGGACAGGACAGCAACAATTAGAAAGGCAAATGATTGAAAATATAAAACTAGATTCTTCTATAATGAGGCAATATATTGGGACTTATAGTGGATTAACACGTATATTCCCAGGCAAGTTTTTTTTTTCAAAAATATTTTCTGATTTTTAATTAGGTATTAGATTTATGAGAGGAATATTTGGGATAGTATGAGGGGAGGGAGGAGGGGGGGAGGATAGGAGAGGAGAGGAGGGGGAGGGGAGGTTGATCAGCTATAAATTATAATTTTTATATCAACGAAAGCCTTTGATAATTGGAATCTCTTTCCATGTTAGTAGAATCCGATAAATATTAAAAACAACAAATAAATACCACACAAAATGTTTTTAGGATTTAAATGGGATTACGGCACAGAACAATTTGGCGTTGATTTATTCGATCCTCGCTTCAGGCCTTGGTTTATTTCATCAGAGAGTTCACCTCGCGATGTTCTTTTTCTGTTAGATTTGAGTGGAAGTGCTAAAGGAATGAGTGCACATTTAATTAAAACGGCCGTTGGAGCAGTTTTACAAACTTTAACACCAAATGATTTCTTTTCTGGTATTTGGTATAATAGCAGAAGGGAAAGAGTTCTGGATAATTGTACTGGAACTTATGATTCTTTTGTACAAGCAACCAGTGGAAATAAAGTAAGGATAAGTATTTTTATTTTTGGGGAAATTAATTGTTTTTAAGACTTGCCATCGAATTTAGATAGTTCCTGCTCTTAGTTAACCTCGTTTTAAATGATATACTTAGTGTTTTTAGATCCGATTACTGTAAACCCGTACAAGTTTATTATTAGTTTGTGTTAAGGAAATAAAATTAATTTATTGTTTTCACACTATAATAATCTTTAATTTATAGCTTTTATTCCGCCGTTTATTGGATCGCGTAGAAGAGCGAGACCAAGCCTCACTTCCGGCAGCCTTGGAAATGGCTTTCGATGAATTTTTTCGTTCAAGTAAAAACAAAGACAACAATAATAATACTTCTTCTCCTCCTCAAAGAAGTGGAGGGCATAGTATTGTTCTTCTATTCACCGATGGAATAGAATTTTGGCCGGCAGAAGTAGTCCAAAAACTTCAAAAAGAACATCCCTCCGCTGAACCTATAAGAGTTTTTGGACATTCTGTTGGGCATGGAAGGGATGCACAAGCAGCTATTTCTTGGTTAAATTGTTGGACACATGCTGGACTTTCCCAAGCAGTTATTGGCTCTATAGCTGAAGTTAGAATGAAAGCAAGAGATCATTTAAAGAAGTTAAATGAAATATTGGCATTGGCATATCGGGACAAAGCCGCGAGTCCCGAAAATCGTCCAATTACTTGGTGTGTGTTTTAATGGTAAATTTATTTAGACGCCCCCACTTCTTGTTATTAAAATTAAATAACAGAGAGTTGACTCTAGCTAAGAGAAAACTAAATTTAACAGAATCTCAACAAGTCTTTAAAAATGTCCACATTTTCAGGACACCCCCATATATGGATGCACAGAAAGGAGGTCCTGTCTTAACTCTTTCAATGCCTTTATTAGGCAATCAACCAAATATTTACAATTATCTTGATTTTGCCAAAATTAATTTAACAAATTCATCACAACAAAATATTCATTTGGATGGGTTTATGGGAATTGCAGCGATTGATATTGCTTTTGAAACAATTGGAAAAATTTTATCTTTGGAGGGGGAATTTGATTTAACTCAAGCATATGCATTTATTGTGGACAATAATGGATTAACTTATTTCCATCCAAGGTTCTGATAAAGAATGACCTTTTTATTTTGTACATTCCCTCTCTATACTTTATGGGGAAATATTAAAAAAATAAACTTGGGAAAGATTAGAAATAAATTTGAATAGAAATTTGGAATTCCAGGTACTTTAAAGAACTTGGAGAAATTTCAATCCCAAGTTTGGAAAATGTGAGAAATAGTTTTTAGTAGAATCCAATTAATTTACAAAATAGTCCTCTAGTAGAAAGATACTAAAAAATATTTCTTAATATTACCAAACACTCATCCATTATTAATTTTTAAAGATTAAAAACTCCCCCAGCAGAAGTATTTAATGTAAGAAGAACACTTTGTCACCGAACATCTACATTAATTCGTTCAAATGTTCGAGTACCATTTTCTAGAGCAGATGAATTTATTCAACAACAAATGGGTTATATAGATTCAATTCCCCATACAGATATTTTAAAATTACTTGAATTAGATGAAAATTTTGAAGAAGAAAGGGAAAAAGAAGAGGATAAACTTTTAATTAAATTTAGAGAAAATTTAATTTTTGGAAAATGTTCACAAACACTCGAAGATGATAAAAGACAATTTCGTTGTTTTCCAATTCCAAGCACTCCTTTAATTGCTGGATTTGTGTTGAGGAAAGGAAGACCGAAAATTATATTGAGAGGGCAGCCGGAAATGGTTAGTGAGGAAATATATTAGTTAATAAATTTAAAATTTAAAGACAATTAACAGATTATATCTTTAAATTTTAATTTCCACTTTTACTTTTTTTATCAGGAAAATCCTTTTGAATTATCTGAACGCCTTAAATCGAGCTTTGTCAGCAACAGAAAAAACATTAAACAAATAAATTTACAATCAATTATTCCTTCATCTGTTGGATTATTACTTCGAGATGAGTAAGTAAAAGACACCCCAATTTCTAATTCCCCTCCTTCCCCTCCCTCCCTTTTTAATTTAAAGTCAACTCCAACAATTTCCAATGTCAACAGAACTAAGCCGCTTCAAACCTTTAAAACAATTTAATTATTTACTTGAATTACTTCCATCAACTTCAAGTATTGGTTATTTACTTCTCTCTCATTTATCAGTATTAGCTTTAAATGAATTAGTTCCTTTATGGTCAAATAAATTAGAAAAGAAATGGGAAAATGTTGATTTATGTTTAAATGAAAATTTAATTAAACAGAAACAAATATCGACAACGACAACAACATTTATTAGAACATTTTTAGAATTTAAATCTACAGCAATTTTAGGTTATCCAGGAATTGTTGCTGTTTTCCCTAAATGGTTAGTTGATGAAAGATTTTAATTTGTTGAGACATTTAATGAGTCTTTATGACAATATTTAAATATTTTTACTTTTTACCGTTTTGAGAAATCTTCACCAGTGGGGATTTTGTCTTTTTTGGTGTTATGAAAAAAATATTTCTATTTACTTTTTGTGATGCGCTAAGGAGTATAGTAGTTTGTAGAGAAAATATTTAAGAAGAGAGTGTGAAAATTGTCTAGTCTGTATGTTCTTTTTCTTTAAATTTAATGCTAATTTATATCACGTCTAAAATTTATCAATTTTGTTTGACTATTAAATGTGCTTTTGCCATCATCTTCGGTTATTACCCAATAATTTGAGGTAAAGCTTAAAAACATCATGCCCTCAAAGATCGAGTGGCTTTGATGCAAATTTTGGAATTGTGCTGCTTTTGCGGTGCTTAAAATTTTATGCATGAGTGTGTCTCATGGTATATTTAATTAGAAAAAACTGAACTTAGCCGTTTCAAACCTTTAATTTTTTAATTCCCTTTTATCTTTAATATTGTTTTTTAACAGTAAAGTGTCATCTATTCGTTCATTTCTTCATAATTCATTTGAGAATGACAATGGTTATGATAACAATGTGATTGTCCATTTTGACACTGAAAAAGAATTAATTACTGTAGAGCAGTCTGTTGGTGTGGTTGATCCATCACGACGTAATTCGTTGGCGAGAATTGGGGTTGGCATTTTTTAGATATTTTTAATTTTAGGTATTTTCTTTTAATGTTTCCCATTTTTCTATTAAATACATGTTTTTTAATTTACATTCTTGGAAACTGCGGATTCCTTTTTTGGGGATAATTTTTTTAAAATGATGTTACAGTTTGACTTGAATATGCCAAAATTACATAAACTCTTTATTTTAAATATAATGTTTTAAACTATCCATTTAATTAGAAATCTTATAAAAGATTTTACCCATTGTTCTTTAAAGAGAAGAAACCAAAAATCTTTTTTTAATCCTTTTTTCTGTGTTTTTATAATTTTAATTTCCTTTTAAAGGTTCAATTACGTTCTAATTATTTACAACAAAAATTCCAATTAGCTATAAAAACAAAAACAGAAAATGGTTGGACAGAATGTTCAACCACAAATAAACAACACAGAAATTGTTTATTATTAAATTCTGATTCTTTTGTTTTAGCTTCCAATCAAAATTCTGAATTTAGTCCTTTACATTTATCACAAATAGAACCAGAATTATTTAATGAATTTTTGGAAAGAGAATTAATTAAAAAGTATTTTTTTAAATTAGAAATTTGGAAGGAAGTATCTCTCTCCTCCATAATGTCTAGTCCTTCCTCTAATTTTTTTGGTATGATGCGACATATCTAATCGGCTTTTATTTGTCCTAACATTGCCTTGCTGCGCTTATTTTTTAGTTAAGCCAGCTCCAATTATTTGTTAACTTTTGAGATTTTGAATTTTTGACTGTCAACTTAAATTTAAATAAACTTTTAGAATAACTTGGAGAAATCCAAATTCTCTTTGCCCTATGATTCTCGAAACTTCACGTCTTCGACAACAACAACAATTTTCTTTACTCCAACAACAAAATTTGGACAATTCTTTATATTATTCTTCTTCTTTATTAAATAATTATTCTCCTTTTTTACAATTTTTAACTTTTCTTTTTTCCTGGTAATTTTAAAAATTAAAATGAAGAACGATTAGTTAAATGATTAAAAGTCTTTATCCTTAAAAACAAATTTAAATTAATCTAAATTAAAAAGCAATTAATTTCAACAATTCATTTAGTACTAATTACCTATTTTACTGACTTTTAAGTTTTTTGGTTAAAGGCCTCCTTAATGTATTTAGTTAATTTTTTAGAAATAGGCATTTTGTTAAATTTATTGATAAAAAAAGAAAATTCTACTTAATATATAAAACTATATTTATTAATTTACTTAAATTTTATTATTTTCTGGCAACTACGTAAAATTTACAATTTTAATTTTTTCGAATTTTTGGATCGGGGGGTTTTCGCGAGACCCCCTTAATTATTCAGTTTTGATGTGATAGATTAATTTTGATTCAAACATAATACATATAGATATGCATTTTAACTAATTTATTAAAAATTCTTTTAAATTCTAAAAAAATATTTATTTAAGGTTAGACTTTCTGATTCCTTCTTTTCATGTTTTTGCAACAAAAACAACCCAAACAGATCAATTTATTCCTTTAGAAAATATTGAATGTGACGATGAAGCTATAAATTCACAACCAAAAGAAATGCTTGAACATTGTATTATTGAAAAAACAAAATTTCGAATTAAATTAAAAGAAAAACAAAAAGGGGGGTCAACAACACCTTTTTGGATACGTGAAAAAACATGTAATCGGTTAGAAAATAAAATTTAAATTTTAAAAATATAAATCTGAAAACTTTTTTAAAAATTATTTTAAAAATTAACATTTCACAGAGTCTTTTTATTTCCCCTTTTTTTACATTTCTTTCCAAATTTTAATTTCTTAATACCCTTATTTTCTCTAATATTTAGAACCAAACTTTTCAAGAAGTATTGAAAATAAATTCACAAGTTATGTGTATTAGAAAATATTAAATTTAGCAGTTCTATAGTGAAAGTAAATTAATTAGTGAATAGAGCGATTTATTTTTCTTTCCTTTCAAAATCTTAAAAAAAAATTTTTTTTAAAGAACTGTTGGTTTATTGCCATTTACTAACTCCAATCTTTATTTATTAATTTTTGATGGTGAATGTTATAATAAAGGAAAATCATTTTCTTCTTCAATTCCTTTATTTAATTCAAATATTCGAGGCAAGGAAAATTTAAAAAAAAATAAATTCTTTTATTTTTTAAAGTTCCTTCCTGTAATTTATCTTTAGAATTACTATCTTTAAAAAGAAAACAAAGAAAAGATTTAGACTATACTCTCTCACATCCAAAGGTTTTTGGAAATAAATTTTTTAAATTAAATAATAAATTTTTTTCTAGGAATTTAATCCAATTTGTACAAGTGGGGGTAATTCAAATATTTTTAAGAAAAAACGAAAATATTTATTTGTGATGGTGCTTAATATAATTATTGTATTAATTGCCTTTTCATTAATTAATTTTTAATAATAATAAAAGTACTAATTTTTTTGTGTTTTTTTCCCACTGCTTCATTACAAAGATCTCTTCAAATAATTTTTTGAAGCTTTTAAATTCTTACCAACATGAATATTTAACCATTTCTTATTAAGTCATTTAATTATTTTAAAAACATGGATGCCATTTTACATAACTTTTCTATTAAATTTGAATAAGAAAAGGTCTAGTTTTGTAAGGAAGAGTCTAGTTTTGTAAGGAAGAGATCATCCGTGTCGGGCTAACTCAAGGAACGGACAAGTCAAGGAAAAGACAAATCAAGGAACGACCAACTCAAGGAACATACCAACTCAAGGAACAGACAAGTCAAGGAAAAGACAGGTCAAGGAACGACCAACTCAAGGAATGACCAACTCAAGGAATATTTTAAAAATCGAAATCTCTTGAAAAATCTGAATATTTTTAGAAAATAAGAATTTAAAAACAGATTAGAACACTAAAAAACAGAATTTAAAAAAAAATTATGAAAAATTCTGGGTTTCAAAAATTGTATTCTGATTTTTAAAATATTCCATGAATTGGTCATTCCTTGAGTTAGTCGTTCCTTGACCTGTCTTTTCCTTGACATGTCTGTTCCTTGAGTTGGTATGTTCCATGAATTGGTCGTTCCTTGACTTGTCGTTCCTTGATTTGTCTGTTCCTTGAGTTGGTATTCCTTGAGTTAGCCCCCACCCAAATCATCATAAACTAAATAGTAAATTTTCTGTGCTCTCGGCACATTTTTCACTTATACATAGATGGAAATTTTCACTCAAAATTCTGAAGTGAAAAATTTTGGCGCAGCAAAACAAACCCAAATAAAAAATTAGCCGACAAACTTCCCAAACACTCAACAACAAAAAAAACCTTTAAGCATCGCCAAAGCAATGCAATTCCAAAATTTATTCAAGCCACTCAGATCTTAGAGGGCAAGAAACAACTAGTACCTTAATACTAGGGTTTATAACCAAAGAGTATAACAAAAGTCTAAAAGAAAAGAAAAATTATTTTATAAAATTTAGACGGGATATAAATTAAAAGAAAATTACGAAAAATTGGATATAGAGTTGCATAACTCACACACTCTTTCTTTTAATTAATTTCTCTCTTTATAATAACATTCTTTAGCTTTGTTTTATAATGTCAAAAGGGAGAAATTTTTCAAAACATCGAAAATTCAAAATATCAATTAAAATATATTTATTTATTTTTACTGGCAAATTTCTTTAAAAATTTTTTAAACTTTTTTTTTATTTTTAGATATATAAATGGGTTCTTATCTTTACAAAATTTATCGAAGAATTTTATTAAATTGGCCAATTGATACAACAAAATCAAATGAACGTAATTTTCGTTTTCATCTCGAAAAACAACTAAATAAAGCTTTTGAACCTTCTCCAAGTGGACAAAATGACGAGAGAAATTTAAATAAAAATGTTAATTTTTTTAAATGCAAGGAACGTCTTGAAGGTTTTTTTAATTTAATAAAATGAACTATTTTCTATTTCTGTCGCAGTTTTTCTTCCCTCATTTCTAATTTATTAATTTATTTACAAAGATATATCTGTAGGTTAAGATTGGGAGGGATATAATGGAGTGGGTGACAGACCCTTTGCTGTTTACATTGCCGTTCTTAATTGTTAAAGTTGGGTTTTGTTAGAAAAACCCTAGACATCAAGAATGCCTCCACTTCAGAATTATTCAACTGAGATTTTCAAGGGAAAAACTCAAGTTAGGAAATAAGATTTAAAATTTGGTTACGGAAAAATTAAAACAACCTATTCCAATTTCGAAACTAATACAAAATTTTTGATTAAATATTTTTAAAAATCCCTCCCTTTGTTTTATTCCCCTCCCCTTTTTTAACCAAAATAATTCCAAAATTTATTTCTTAAAAGCTTTACAACGTCTTGAAAATAATCAACATTTTAATCAATTTCCTTTGCAATACACAGCTGGGGTTAATGGCTATAGACAAGAATTAATTCAAAAATTTAATTCTGATATTGAAAGGAAAGAAATGGGAATGTATTATTTTATGCCTGGATATAAACAAAAATTTGTTAATTTTTTGAAGAAAATATTTTTTAAAAAAGAATAAAGGTTTTTGTTTAGTTTTTTAGTTATTTTAGAATAAAAATATTTTTTTCTTGACACGATACTTTTTCTGAAATTTAAGGAAATTCTCATTTAACGAAAAATATTTTTTTATTTCTTAATAAAATTTTATAATTTTTCTTTTAAATATTTCAAGAGAAATATTGGCAATTTTTAATTTTTTCGAAGGAAAAAATTATTACTCCTTTTCCCAAAACACCAAAAATTTAAATAAAAATTTTATAGAAAATTTTTATTTTTTTTAAAAAACATTTAAAAACTAATTAATTAAATTCTATTTTCATTTATTATGGCAATTTTATTAATTTTCTTTTTTTTCTTCCCTTTTCAAACATTTTTTTAATTAAACAGGGCTAATTGGTGGTTCATAAGGATAAATATCTTTTAAAAAAATTTAATTTTAAATTTAAACAAAAAAACCTCCAGCATTTGGAGATCCTCCATAAGAATTTTCGTTTTTTGGGGGAATATACCAATCCCCGTCTGCAGGGGCGTGTGTCAATGTTTGTTTGTCTTCTGCTCTTCGTTTTTTAATTATAATTCCACTTTTGCCATATTTCCCAGAAAGTTTTTCATAAGCGCGATATTGCCTTTAATTAAATTTATTTAATTAAAATTATATATTAAGTGTTTTTAGGAGTAAATAGGTGTTGAGGATATATTGGGTGTTATTTAAGATTTTTTGTGTTCAAAACCCATAGCCAATTTTTTCCAATAAAAAGGTGAATTTTGCGCATAATACTGTGGCTTACACAATACTAGCAGCTCCTCCTCCTAATGGCTAACCAGATTTTAAAAAATGTACATTAAATTGAGGGTGTGTACAGGTTAGTGATTGTTTGGATAAGTGAGGGCTGGAAGTATGTACTTCTCTCCCCTACTCCCTCATCTCGTATAATTTAAACACTCATGTACTTTATGGGTAAGTAACCCTTCTTTATTTCAAAATAATAATTAATTACTTATATAATTGCCAAACAATATATAAAAAGAATATTTCAAGAATAGCAATAGCCAAATAAACAATAATAATCATTATTCCAAGCCAATGAGTTGCTTTAAATTAAATTTTTTTTAATTAAATTTAATTAACAAACAATAATTTCTTTTATAATCCCCATGTCCAACTAAACGTCTAATTCCATTATAAGCACCAAAAAGAAGTAAAAGAGCAACTACAATTGCTACAATTATAAGCCATCCTATTAAAAATATCTGGAAAAAATAAAAATTATTTTTTTAATTTTGTTAAATAATTTTTAAAAAATTATTATTAGATAATACATTTGTTTGTCCTTATAATGAAGACAAAACTTTGGGCTTAAAAATTGTAACTTATAGGTATAATTATTCCACGATTCCTGGGAATTAAACTGGATATTACAAATAACACCACGCCCCTTGCAGGGAGCGACGTAGGTGCCAGCAATTCAAAGAGAAAATTTTTGTTTTTAAAATTTGTATTTTAATTTATTTAATTTTTCTAAAATCCCCATCTTTCTTTTTGGAATCTCAAAAGGATTTTTCTATATAATTTTAAAAATTTTCTTTTAATTAATCTTTAATTACCTGTGCAGAAATGTGTGGAATTAAAAATCTAGAGCTTTCCTTCTTTATAGCGTAAATTAATAATATAATAGCAATTAATATTATTATAACAGAAATAATCCCCAAAATAAACCAAATTACATAAGAACCTCCAAACATAAACAAATTATAGAATAATCCATAAACTGTTAAAATACACAGAAGAAACTCTACAAAAGCAACTACAAAACCAGCTGTCTAGAAAAATGAAAAAATTAATTTAAATAAAATTTTGGAATGGGGGGGGGGGTGGGGGTGGGGTATTTTTTGGTAGATTTTTAATGTACAACTTTAATTGTCTTTTTTAAATTAATTTTTTATCGGTTCAAAACGGTTCAATATATACAGCCAAGATTTGAGAGAGCAGCTTCTCTTTTAAACCTTACATCTCGGGATACCTAAATTATATACTAAACTAAGATGTAGACATCAAAAGTGTATAATAAAGCGAGGTTCAACTGTATATAGTATTTGTCCAATCTCGATAAGAAGTCACCTCGAACCGAATTTTTAAGGAAAGAGACATCGATTTAAGATTAATTTAAGATTATTAACAAACACAATTTAATTAGAAATTTTTTTCTTATTCCTCAATTATTTTCTTTCAACCTTTTTGAGACGATCTGACAACCAAAATTATTGAAAAGAAAGGGTATAAACCAGACTTGCACACGGATACGGATATGGATACAAATAATATCAAAATGCCTGCGGATATCCGTCCGTATCCGCCGTAAATATCCGGATACGGATACCAAGATCAGTATCCGTGTGCAAGTCTGGTATAAACAAAGAAATTATTAACATTCAAAAATTATTTTTGTAAAATAAGAAAATTAAATCCTTTCTTATTTAAAAAAAAATTTATTTATTTATTTATTTATTTATTTATTTACTCTAAGTGAAGAACAGCATATCCTTCCATCTTTTCTCCCACCATTTGCAGCAGCTTCTCTTTTACGCCTTTCACTGCTTGTATTTCTTGTTAAAGGTTTTGATGGTTCTTTAAATTTTTTACTTCCCTTTTTGGCCATTTTTAATTTATTAAAATAAAAAAAACTTTAAAAATTATTTTGTTTTTAATCAATTTGTATGTAGTAAATAAATATTTAAAAGGCCTCAAAAAAAGACTTAAAAAAATAATTTTACTCAGGTTAGATGAAAAGGAGGAGGAAGTTGGAAGGAATTTATTTAGAGTTTAGAAACAGAAAAGAAAAATAAATTTATGTTTAATTTCCAAACGATTGATTGAAAAAATCAAGCAATTGAGGTAAAAAC